TCTTTTCTTTTCTTTCTTTCTTTCTTTTTTTTTTTTTTTTTTTGAGACAGAGTCTCGCTTTGTCGCCAGGCTGGAATGCAGTGGCGCAATAACGGCTCACTGCAAACTCTGCCTCCGGGGTTCAAGCAATTCTCCTGCCTCAGCCTCCCAAGTAGCTGGGACTACAGGCGCACACCACCAGGCCCAGCTAATTTTTTTGTATTTTTTAGTAGAGACGGGGTTTCACCATGTTGACCAGGATGGTCTCAATCTCTTGACCTAGTGATCTACCCATCTCGGCCTCCCAAAGTGCTGGAATTACAGGCTTAAGCCACCGCGCCCGGCCTTCTTTCTTCTTTTCCTCTTTTTTGAGACAGGGTCTTGCTCTGTTGCCCAGGCTGGAGTGCAGTGGCATAATTTCAGCTGATTCACTGTAACTTCTGCCTTCTGGGCTCAAGCGATCTTCCTGCCTCAGCCTCCTGAGTAGCTGGGAGTTATGGTGGGCACCACTAAACCCAGCTAATCTTTGTATTTTTAGTAGAAATGGAGTTTCGCCATGTTGGCCAGGCTGGTCTCAAACTCCTGACCTTGTGATCTGCCCACCTTGGCCTCCCAAAGTGCTGGGATTACAGGCGTGAGCCACCGCGCCCAGCCCTCCCTAATGCATTTTTCTTTATACATACAGTTTTCTTTTCTTGCTTTTATAAAATGGGACCAATGGGCATATATATGTTTTTGGTGGGGAGGGAGAGATGGAGTCTCCCTGTCACCCAGGCTGGAGTGCAGTGGCAACATAATAGCTCACTGCAGCCTCCACCTCCTGGGTTCAAGAGATCCTCCTGCCTCAGCCTCCCGAGTAGCTGATACTACAGGCAATTGCCACTGTGCCTGGCTAATTTTTTATTTTTTGTAGAGATGGGGTTTCCCTATGTTGCCCAGGCTGGTCTCGAGCTCCTGGGCTCAAGCAATCCTACCTCAGCCTTCCAAAGTGCTGAGCCACTGCACCTGGCCTAGTGAGCATATTTTAAGGTGTATGTCAATTCGTGTGTAACACTGATGGAATTAACATAGCAATAATTAGAACTGCCACTCATGGAGTACATATTAAGTGCTGGGCATCGGGCACCAAGCATTGTTGACAAACCGCTTTATTTTCAGCAGGTTTTGAGTGCTTACTGGGCGCTAGAGTTTTCAGGAAATAAGAATCACCTACTATGCGATTCTCCCAAGTGCTTATGAACAAGTGTGCAGCGCCGATGCTGCGTCAGCCTTTTGCCTGCATCTCATTTAAACATGAAAACAAGGCGTGATCTCTATGCTCTGCCCAGGGTAGGGGCGCGGGCCCGAGCAAGGGGTGCACACCTGAGTAGGGACAAGAAGGGGGAGGCGGCGTCCTCTTCCCTGGTGCGCTGCAGAGCTAAGGCGACCCTGAATGGCCTCAGGGAGAAGGGGCCGACGGAGGTCAGGCTGAGGGCAAGCGGCAGCTAAGGGCAAGCCGGAGGTCCAGGCCACCCCGGCGGCGGGGTCTGCGGAGCGGTGGGCGGGGTGGCGGGCGGGGCCTGTATTGTCCGCTCCGCGGGGCATGCCGGGAGCCCCGCCCCCAACATGGCGTCTCACTGACAGTTGGCTGCCGAGCGGCAGAGGCGGATCCTGCTCTTGAGGGCGGCGGCGGCTGCGGCGGCGGGGCCGGGGTCTCCCGGGCTGAGGTCTGGGGGATGGCGGCTCGGACCGCCTAGGGCGGAGCTGCACGGGCGAGGCGGCGAGCGGGGCGCCGCTGGCGGGCGCGGAGGCCGCTGCCATGGACTGGTGATCGCGGCAGCTCCTGCTCTGTCTTCCCGGGCCGAGCGTCTGCTCATCAGCGCCAGGACCTCAGCTGGGGCCATGGGCTCCTCGGCGGCCGCGGCGGCGGCGGCGGCAGCGGCGGCCGCGGACTCGGCGCAGTGGCTCTCGGTGAAGGAGGAGACCATATTCCTGCACGACGGGCTGATCCGGGTCACCGACCTGGCGGAGCTGCCCAGCGAGATCCTCGGGGCCCCGGAGGCCGCCGACACCGACCTGGAGGTAAGCGAGGCGGCCCCCGGACCCCGCCATCAGACTGGCCCACCCGTCCAGCTCCCGGGGGTAGGTCTCCAGTCGCGGGCCTTGCCTCCCGGTGGCTGCCGGGGCAGGTGTGTGTGGGCGCGGGGCTGGCAGGTTGGGGCCGCGGCCGCAGGTCTGCAGACCGCCCGCGCCTCTCTCTCTCCTTTCCTCCCTCCCCCGGGCCTGGCGCCCGTCCGGGGATTTCATTTGTGGTTTCCTTTTGAGCGTTCCGACACCCGGCATTTTATTAGACTAGCTCCTGGCTCGGCCTTCATGCCCCGGAGGAGCCGCCGCCACCACCCGGGCCCTCCCTCCCCTACCCCACGGGCCCCCTGGACCCACTTCCAGGGCACATTCAGGTTGCTTAGCTTTAGGAACATTTTCATTTTCACGCTGTGCACCCTCTCACCCTTTTCTTCCCCAGTTCTGTGTTTTTTGTTTTTGTTTTTGTTTTTGTTTTCCGGGAGAGGGTAGTGGCAGCTGCGGGTCCGCGATGGGCAATCCAGCAACTTCTCTGTGTCGTGCCTCGGATAGATTGACACGGGGCCTTTGTCAGGGAAGCGGGTGATGTGGACAACGAGAGGGATGCTCCAGCGGCCCTCTGTGCGCTCTCGGCGAAGGGTCACGGGCGCGTTAGGCCGCAGGGCCTATTTGTGCGCCAGGGGGTCGCCGAGCATCCCGGGTTCAGAGCTGTGGCAGGTGCAACAGCAGATCTCATTTGAGTTGCTTGGCCTTGCGGACAGAAGGGAACCAAATGTGCCTGGTTGGTGGGAACTTTCCATCGGCTTCACTTGAGTTCGTGTTTGCCCAGCGGTAGGAATACTGGCAGTGTCATTTCATGGAGGCCAGCGGATGCTGACACCGCTCCCCCTCCACTTCGTGGGATGACATTTTGATGTGTAGGTAGCATGGGGTGTCATCAAATTTTTACAGCCTTAAGGAGGGCTTTCTGGGGTAGGGCGCAGAGAAGATGGCCTATCTTCTGGCTATAAACGGAATGCGAGGAATCTTTTGTGTTTTGCGGTTTTGCATGCAGTTTGGCTTTCCGCACAACGAACATTTATAGAAATGAATTAAAAGCCATTACTGTATGTTTCTGGAAATGGCAGTGATCCGATCGTGGTGGCTGAGACATTTGGACGTGCTTGAGATGCGAATACGTTCCACTGTATTTTTGTGTCTGGATTTGAGGTTGCTTCAGCACTTCTGTTGTGAACTCTTAATTGACTTATTTTACAATCTAGTCACCAAAAAGAGGAGGATATAATTGGCAGGGAATTCCTGACATGGAATCATCCTTTTATTGTGTCTCATTTGGGCCTGTTCTATAAAAAGCAAGGTGTGTCTGAGTGTCTTATCTGCCTGAAAACTCAAGGGGTATTTTGCTATCATAGTGGAATCTTTTGATAATTGGCTGTGTTGTGTGTGGAAGGTGGGAAGTGGATGCTCTTTGTTTCTTTTCTTTTCTTTCTTTCTTTCTTTTTTTTTTTTTCTCAGACGGAGTCTTGCTCTGTCGCTGAGGCTGGAGTGCAGTGGTGCGATCTCAGCTCACTGCAACCTCCACCTCCTGGATTCAAGTGATTCTCCTGTCTCAGCTTCTGGAGTAGCTGGGATTACAGGTGTGTGCCACCACGCCCGGCTATTTTTTGTATTTTTAGTAGAGACAGGTTTTCACCATGCTGGCCAGGCTGGTCTGGAACTCCTGACCTCTTAAACCATCTGCATTGGCTTCCCAAAGCTCTGGGATTACAGGCATGAGCCACCACACCGGGCCTACGCTCTTTGTTTCTTAAAGACTAATCCAAGTTCACGGAGCCAATATATATGTCATTTATATTGATGTGATTTATTTATTTTTAGGATTAGAAAGAGTAGGATTAGTTAAAATAACTGTGCTGTTAAGTTGGTTTTCCTAAAATGTTTACTGTGTAAATGTATTGGCATGAATTTGTCACCTATTTCCACAGAATAGGTGGTTTTAAAAGGAAAGAACCTCTCTGGCCTGCTAGATTTTTTTTTTAAAATTGCTTTTTAAATTTATGGTCTGATTTCTCAGAAATTAGTGTATGTATGGGTGATAAACATTTACGACTGGTAGTGGTGAATAACTTTTTCATTCTTTCTGTGGTATATAGGCTCCATGGTATCAGGAGAAATAGATAGCTAAGAATATTTTTTGTGGCTATTAGATTTTTATTTGTGTGGCTGTATTCATATATTCATATATTATATATATAATTTTTTAATTTTTATTTTTTTATATTCTGAAAGCCTCTCTCTGTTGCCCAGGCTGGAGTGCAGTGGCACCATCTCAGCTCACTGTAACCTCCACCTCCTGGGTTGAAGCAATTCTTCTGCCTCAGCCTCCCAAGTAGCTAGGATTACAGGCCTGGGCCACCATACCTAGCTAATTTTTGTATTTTAGGTAGAGACAAAGTTTCACCATATTGGCCAGGCTGGTCTCAAACTCTTGACCTCATGTGATCAGCCTGCCTTGGCCTCCCAAAGTGCTCATATTTAATTACTTAATAATGTTGATTAAATGTATCCTACATATCAGGCATTATCTTATTAAATTCTCAAAAGAGTCTAACAATTGGAAATATTGCACTCTGTACAGATGAAGGAAGTAAAGTGCAGAGTAGGTATTCGACTTGCTCAAGAACACATAAAGAGCTTGCACGTTAACTTAGTTCTGTTCACTGCACATCTGCTCCTCATCATAATGCTTTACTGCCTCCAACAATGTATAGTATTTGTATTTGCAGTTATTTTAAATTTCATAACTGGCTACAGAAGGAGGAATAAACAGATATCTCTGTTTTCTTTTAGTAACTGTTTCTTTTTCATATTTGAGGAAGATTTGTGGTTTATTAATTTTTTAAAAGCTATCTTTTGAAATACCACCACACCTATGAAGTACAGTCTTCCAAGCCTCTTCTTCCAGTAGACATTTGGGTGAATAATCGCCATTTTCCACAGGGTTTTATAATATGTAGAATCCTTCAGTTAACACTTTTGGATTATGAGGGATGGGATTCAAGTTGACTAATTTATGACTGGCAACCTTAATGCAGAAGATTGCAATAGAGAGTCTTAGAATTTTAGAGCAAGAAGAGATTTTAGAGATAATAACTTCCCTCATTTTAGAAAGAAGTTATCTCAGATCAGGAGAGGTTATGACTCAGTCACTATAGCATAGCTAGTTGTGGCAGGGCAATGACTAGAACCTGGCTTTCCTGCCTTTGGGCTTTAGTGTTCTGTTCACCCTGTAAGCACTGCTCAAAGTCAATCTGAACAAAGAATCCCTTCTAAGAAGTAGATCAACATTGACTTAGTATTTTAATTTACGCAGTTGAAAGTATTTCAATTAAAATTTTTCTTCCCAGTAAATTCTTTTTCTTTTTCTTTCTTTCTTTCTTTTTTTTTTTTTTGAGACAGTTTCATTCTTGTTGCCCAGGTTGGAGTGCAGTGGCGTGATCTCAGCTCACTGCAACCTCTACCTCCTGGGTTCAAGTGATTCTCCTGCCTCAGCCTTCCAGTTAGCTGGGATAACAGGCATGTGCCACCATGCCCAGCTAATTTTGTTTTTTGTTTGTTTGTTTGAGTCTCGCTCTATCGCCCAGGCCGGAGTGTAGTGGCACGATCTTGGCTCACTGCAACCTCCACCTCGCAGGTTCAAGCAATTCTCCTCCCTCAGCCTCCCAAGTAGCAACTGGGACTACAGACGTACGCCACCATTCCTGGCTAAGTTTTTATATTTTTAGTAGAGACGGGGTTTCTTTGTGTTAGCCAGGATGGTCTCAATCTACTGACCTCATGATCCGCTCACCTCAGCCTCCCAAAGTGCTGGGATTACAGGCATGAGCCACTGTGCCCAGCTAATTTTGTATTTTTAGTAGAGAATGGGTTTTACTATGCTGGCCAGGTTGGTCTTCAACTCCTGACCTCAAGTGATCCGCCAGCCTCAGCCTCCCAAACTGCTAGGATTACATGCATGAGCCACTACACCCAGCCTCTTCCCAGTAAATTCTAAACAGGTTATTATTATTATTATTATTATTATTGTTATTTTAAGATGGAGTCTCTTTCTGTAGCCCAGGCTGCAGTGCAGTGGCACAATCTTGGCTCACTGTAACCTCTGCCTCCTGGGTCCCAGTTCAAGCAATTCTCCTGCCTCAGCCTTCTGAGTAGCTGGGATTATATGCATGGGCCACCATGCCCAACTAATTTTTGTATTTTTAGTAGAGATGGGGTTTTACCATGTTGGCCAGACTGATCTTGAACTCCTGACCTTGTGATCCACCCACCTCGGCTTCCCAAAGTGCTGGGATTA